CCCCCCTGCCTCTTATTAATGACTCAATAAATGTAAACGCCAGAATAATCAACAGTTCTATTTGTGAACTCGGTACACTTCGACGAACTCGCGTTTGAATGAAATTTATCAAGGATTCATCCAATGCGAAATCAATCCATTTCAGAAAACTTCACCCACTTATTAGGAGCGAATTTGGCGGCCAGGAAACCAGCAGGTATTTGCGTTACAAGATATCCATAGAAGAACGAACTCTCCATGACACCAAGTTCTGTTATCGTCCAGTTGAACTCTTTCATCTTCAATTGTTTAACATGTTTTTAGAACAATATCGACAAGCATACGGTTAGAAAATTGATTTAAAGGATAGGAGAGCACTGCCATTAATACATAACACAAAACTGACATGTTCCCTTCCCCATGGATCCACATAATTGCGTGCCATATGGGTTTTTGCTGCACCAAAATTGCAACGTATTCCAAAAACAATCAAGAAACCGATATTCGCAAGTATCGCCAACTGCCAACGCTTTCGACATTTACAACACGAACACTGATCGGTGAACTGAAATTCAAATGAAATTGGAGTTGATTTCGCCCCACTTACCCTGATGACACAAGTAATATCGTTATACGAAAAAGTTGTGAGTATCATGTCTGAAATGGGAGCTAGTAAGTGAAATAAATCGGAAGAGCTTTCAGTGGTCCTCTGTCCTATTCGTAACCTCATCATTTCTTTATCTTATCCTTCAACTTCGGAGACTTCTGATTTCAGTAGCCCTGAGTCCAATTTCACCGCCCTCCCAACTACAGGTGAATTTACTTTTGCAGTTTCAGTATTTCGGTCGCTTGTGAGCTAATTTCAGCTGAAGTTCTGAATGGATTCTCAGAGCGTCAAAACTGTGCCGTACTTCCCGACGCAACATTCAGTTGTATGAATTTACAGGTTAACTTCGCTTTCGATGACAACTTCTGAACTCATATTCGCTATGAATCTATGAGTACTTTTGTGAAGTGGTATGATACGTATGAGCGTAATTCAATGCTTCTTGGATAGAATGTGTAATTATCATTGCGAAAAATTGTCGTAATATTCAATGATATTATTTGATATTTGATGGCATATCCTCTGTATTCTTCCTTCGAACGCTTATTTTCATTAGTGACACTAATGTGCTTCACATTACTGACACTAAGTGAATGCATGAAACACTTTATATCAATATCTATTAAAGCAGTTTCAATATCAAGTGGGTGTCTGTAATCGTTAGCGATTGAAAATCTATGAATTTGTTTCATCATGCGTGGCAAGAGATAATGAACGTAGACGAAAAGCACTCGTGGTTTTTGATCATCGTTTGACCAGCTGTAATACAGCTGAGCAATGCACTTGGATATAATTAACATTCCGCACGTTTTGTAACTAAAATTAACTCATTCTATAGGTGCGATCAAAACTGTTCATTATTCGAACGACAGAGTTGATGAAATTGTGAAACTTTTTACTGGTATTGAAATGTTTAAAAATGGACAACTTCACACTTAAATTCAGCAATTGTTTTCTATTGTTACGATGATAACTGTGGGAATGATTTTCAAATTTCACTTCGCCTGACATTAATGTATATTGTTGGAGCGAAATGCACTCGTACGAAATATGCAAACGTGTTGAATGATCTCAATTAAACCGAGCGTACCTCAAGAATTTTATTCGAATGTATGTCCATTCCGTAAGTATAAAGATTATTTGCTCCGTCTAATTCATATCCGTCATTTTCATTCACTAAACGATTTCCTTCCGCATTCACTTTGCTCGTTAAGAATCTGCAACCGATAATCAAATGTAATACGGGATTCGTCCACTGTTAATGAATACGAAACCGCTCTGTGCGTAAGTAACTCTTACGAAGATGGTTCGACTGTTTCAAATGACGTGGCGAGATGAATTTGAAATCGGCACCGTGAACCTGATTACTTCAGATGCAATGAAAGTGACAGTTTAATGTTGTCAGTTGTGAGGCACTAATGGATTGCTGTATTTTTTGTGTTCAATTTCAGATTTCTATTACGCGAAGCTGGAGTAATTATTGACAGCAAAGAGGATGAGTGATTTTGGCGAGGAACAGAAAGCACACATTAGTAAAGATGACACACGAGTAATTTCCTTACTTTGATATGGGTTCCTTGCATTCATTGAGAACCTTCTTGGATGGTTCTAGAATCTTATTCTGGACATTGCTGAACGTTACTGGAATCCTCTGACTCATTTCGTCTCTCCTTATCGACTGTACCCAACGCTATTCTTAACAATAAATGATAACACTGAAATTGAATCATTCACGGAATGAAATGATCGACAACGAGAAATATCACTACGCAAAAGTTCGAATCATAACGCTGTCAGTTCCACTTTTAATTACTTAAACATTTGCATGCTATCCGATAAATGTGAATGATCTCGAAAGAAGTCAAAATTCCTAAAGGCAAATATCTAGAGCCTTTTCTGTGATGCAACAAACTTATTATGAATTGGTGGTCTTGAGGTGTTTCAAGATCGGAACTAAAACTCGACGCTGTTCACTTTGGTCGCACCCAAATAACTGTAGCATTACCAAATGAACACCAAAAAAGCTGCACAGACTAGTGCTACGTCTGAACGGAGACTATGCAGATGCGAATTGTGAGTGGATGTACCAATGTATGTCCATCTCAACCCAATCCGTGGATATGATCTTATTAATTGGAGGTGAACGCATCCACCTGGCAATGTCGGTACCATTTTATTAACCCATGGAGGATGGGAGGTTTGGTGACCCTGGGCATCATCGAACTTTAGTCTTTAATCACGAAACGTAACATTACGATATCAGTTATTGGTTATTCATTGTCGTGAGTTGATCATTTCATTAATTACCTTTTGAAATCGAACAGTTCTTTGAATGAGGATGTTAGATGTCTTGAGAAATTAAATATCTTTTTAAATTTAAGTGAACAACGTCAAATTTTAGAACGGTTGATCAGTTGCTTTGCATTAATTACTGAATGTGGAGAAGACGCGATAATGAATAGCAATTCCAAGCGAAATGAACTGTAATAAAATGTTGAGGATTACGATAGCTGGATGAATGAAGGAATGAATATGAAGTTGTTGATTGAGCGGAATGAAGGAGGAGTGCTTTACGAGGTACATGATAAGCTAAAGACTGCGTTCCTTAGTGGCTACTTCAGTCACCATAGAAATAATAAATATTATAAAATGCTCAACCGTTGCGTTTGTTGAGTTATGTGCTTAATGTTCGATATCGAATTCGATAATTAAATTGGTGACAGTTGAAAACTTGTGCAAAATTCAAAGCATTCCGAGATAATTGTTTTAACGAATCTAAAATACTAACTTTGAATTGACATGTGCATTTGGATATCGTGTAAATGTATACATATATAGAAGGTATGTATGAATGAAAGTGGATTAGTTCAGAAAACTAATGCAATCGCTATAATTGTTCATTCTAATTACAATCCACATAAACGTAACAGCATAAGCTATAATTTTATTATTAACTGATAGTTTACCAGCTTGTGATGAATGCTAAGTGGTTGGTTGGTACGTATATCTATATTCTCAAAAATCAAGGAATCGCTTCATTGCAGTGTTCAATCACTAAATCAGATCGTTGAATTACATGATCAATACGCATCGATAACGGTGAAAGTCTGGCATTTCAAAGCGTATTTTATATCATGTTTTGAAAGATCTTACTATTCGGTGCTTTAATATGTGACGTGTATACAGACTGAATTAAGTTCCGCGACCGTACCAGAACGGCCATTTCGACTATTAGCTTAATACAGGTTTACATTCAACTGAAGAAGCATCATTCTTTTCTATGAACTTAGAAGTTTATGCAAACCAATTCAACGCATCTTGACGAATGAAAATGCTCCAAAAAATAGAGCGCTGAGAGAGCAATACATCAAACGAGAAACATTTCATACGGATTAAAAAGCGCCGAAGCAATAGCTCAACTATAAATGAGTATAATTATGAAATCAACGATATTTTTCAACGAAATAACTGAATGATATGATATTCAATTTAAAGGACCGTTCCAAATCAATGAACTCTAGTGAGGAAAATACTTCTTGGAGTTGTCGTGCTAAAATTAGTGTTCCCAATGAAGTTTACTGCTTTCGCTACCATATACTAACAGTTTGTTGACGGAAACACTGTGGGAAGACGTCATTAGGAATGAAGTGCATAAGATATTCGAATTAACCGAGAAATTTGCCAAATTGATAATTGTGCATGACCATAGATGATAAGAAACAAAATCGTTGAGCACGAATCAAGTGTATTCTGATGATATGCGATATGTGAACGTTTCTATTTCGTAACAATCATCTCACTAACAAAATTATTCGCATATTGTTTGTTTTTGCATATCAATGAATATTGAACGTAATCTAAGCTTTCCCAATGAAGTTTATTACTTTCGTTGACATACACTCATCCTTGATTGACAGATATGGTAAAATGACGCTATTAGAAAACAAAATGCTAAATTTGAAGCAAGATAAACATTAGATTAGGATGAACGAAAGTGCACTTTTAAGCGTTCAAGAAAAAATTTTGATCACGTGTCACATTTCAAAATCAGTCATTTTTTCATTCTTCAGCAACGCTCAATGTCATGAAATCGGTTGAAAGCTGCTGGCTTTAATTTGTTGGATACTGCTATCAGCAGAGAATTTTAATTTATTGAAAGCGACCAAATTTACGTCGTATCTGAAATACATCAAGCTGATGCAGATTTCTGACTTTTCAATTCGTTCGTACGACACCTTTACAGATAAAATTCAAATACCTCATTTTCACCTGCATTCAACTCAGACGTCAATGGAATCTAGAATGCATAACATCATTTACGGAATAAGCTGATGAGGCATTAATTGATTAAACTGTGAAATATAATACTCACTCTCAAACGGCAATCACCTAATACGATAGTCGTTGAAAATATGGGAAGAAATTTATGTTGAGTACGCATTGCAAGAAATAAAAAAGAAATACTCTATGAGATCGCTATGTTTATTACTTCCTCGAGTTTTATCATTCTAATCACAATTCATTTCCACTTTGTATCAGTTTCACTCGTCAGTCGAATCCTACACCATATATAATAGATGGATATGGACAAAGCACAGAGTAGATTAAGATGTAAAGAGATGAGAATGAGGATAGATTTATTTGCAGAGAGACATCATATTGTTGATTAAACAAATCCATGCTTTTATCTGATTCATTCCTCTGTCAATATTCCTCTACTGTTGCTGTTTGCTTGGTCATATCGAATTATTATTGTAAGAGTGCATCGTCGATTTTTAATGTTTAATACGACTTTTTTGGTGAGTGTTCAAATATCTTATTCAATATTGTTATACTGTATAGTATGATATACGACGCTGCGATATATCATATACCATTTGTATTAGACGTTGCTAAAATTTTTATATCAGCTCTGACGTGTCTATTCTCGATGTTCAATATCAAACAGAGCGAATCTTGGGCGTTGCATCAAATGGAGTGAAGTGAGTGTCGCTGAATGACAATTATGATGTACGCTTAAATGGCCGATTCATGTGCGCGGTAATACTCTATAGTTGACTGTAAATTGCCCTGCAGAAAGAGATAATGACAGCTAGCAATTTATATGAACGGATTAAATGAATGGGAAAAGAGATATGATTATTGAATGCAATGAATGCTATTGACAGGTTGCACTCACAAGCTGCGAATGATGAGCGTTTAACACAACTGTCATTCAAATCCACTAGATTGCCTGAATCAAATTTGTGAGTTATTAATTGAATGTTTCATTGATATTCATTTCAAATGAGTATTTCATGAAGTCATTCTACTTTAATCCAATTAGTTCATGCATTTCAATGATTTTTCATAGTTTCATAACAGAATCTATTCCGAGAATAATTTCGTATCCAGCAAATCATTCGTTTATCTTTCGAAGAATTTTAAATGTGCTGTGAAAATCTTGAGGTACTCTTGAAATGATAACGATAATGTTGAAGCTTCGTAATAGTATCGAGGCAAAGCAATTAATGGCGTCTCTGTATTCGAGTGCAAATGCACCACGTTTATTGAAACGCCGATGGTCTTTTCGAGGCTCCTGACCGCGACGCTGAGGCTGCGAGCACTCACAAGATTCCTGACGCCCTGACCCCGGGAACCTTCCAGCTCGATGTTGTGCCCGACTCAAGCCTATACGAATGCATCTAACTAATAGTGAGATGAACGAGAAGGTTTTAAAGCGAATAACCGATGCTGATTACATCTCTTTCTTACAGATTAAATGATACA